CAAGTGAAAGCATTTTGGCTTAGAACTTTCTTTGTAGGAAGGTTTTTTGCCCATGAGTAGATTATAGGGCTATTCAGAGTATCTGTTTTCTTGAGTAAGTTCTACTGGTTGTATCTTAGAAGAACTTTGCCTGTTTCTCACCTAAATTATCCAAGTTTTTTACATCCAGATTTGCATAATATTATTAACCTTTTAATTTCTCTAGAGTTTATTATATTTCTCTTTCATTTCATTACATCTGGTTGTTTTCTACTTGTTCCATCTGTTCTTTATGTTTCTCTTTTCCTGCTTTCTTTTAGATTTTCTATTATAATTCCATGAAGTAGATATTATGTAATATAGAAAGAAGGCAAGATGTGTACTCTCATGTGTCAGAATTGAAATTCACTTAATAAAGTGAGATACATGATCATAAGCTGAAGGCAGGGAAATGTTGGCATCCTCTGTTGAGAAGGTTTAGAATTATTTGTCTTGGAGGTATTCTGAGAAAACAGCAAGAGATTAACATGTACATTCCAAGCATTCAAAAGACCCAGAGGAAATAAACATGTAACTAATTATACTATTTGAATAGCTAAGGTATATTATTATCAAATCTGAAGATATGTCTTAACATAGGCCCTAAAAATTGGAAAATGTAAAAAAAAAAACTGTAATGGAATTTCCAAGTGGTGGTGAGGATATTTCACATTTCAATTACAGTTTTAATAACATTGATTTATGTTTTCCCTCAATAAGGTAGAATGTATCAGCTTCTTTTAGACAGTCACATTTTTCTAGGTGTCCAGAACTTTGACAGTTGACAGCTGTCTTTTCTAAATATTGAACACCCATTGGTTTACAGGCAGATGAGCTCAGGGTATTTTCAGTAAGACGTGAGTGACATTTTTCCCATTTTCTCATAGCTAAGTTATCTGAAAAGCCAAGAAAAGACAGACTAGCTGGAAGGAATCAGTTGGTATTGGTGAGTGGAAATAGAATGAACGGAAAATTGGGAAGCCAGCTGGATATTTTGTGGGACTAATGGTTTTGGAAACATACTTGCAAGACTAAGATAACTATTTTACTCTTTAAACTGATTGCATTTTATATTATATTCCTTTTGTTTGTAAAAATAATTGCTTGACTCATGTAATGAAATTTGAACTCAGTGTAAAGGCACAGTTAGTTTACCTAAATCTGCTGTTGTCTGTAGGCATTATTTCATGTACATATTGAAAAGCTTTGAGATCAAAAGTGGGAAAATCACAGTATCATAGCGGTATTTCATTTGGATTGTTGTCACAATTATAGCCAGTTCTCAGAATACATTTTTTTGACAAATTCCAACTTTAGCAGTAAAGTAACATTTTATGTAAAAAATCCTTGATGTAGATACATTTTGTAAACAGAAAAATATAAGTAACTCATACTTTTCCGGGAGTGCAGTGGCCACTATGTAAAACAGTGAAGAAGGATACAGACTTGAGTCAGATAGCGTGGATTTAAATCTGGGATTTATTCCTTACCAGCTGTACGATCCTAGTCAGGATGCTTAATCTCTTTGCGCTTCAGTGTCATTGTCTGTGAGATAGGAAAATAGTTTTATCTCATAGACATAATATGCAGATTAAATGAGTTATATGTGCATATGTGTTAATAGATGTATAATACATGCTTAAACTGGGCCTGTTGAAAAGTATCTACTCAATAAGTTGTAGTTGTTACCAGAGTTAAAAAAAGTTAGTTAGGCTCTGTGCATCATCTATAAGGTGGGGTTTGAACAATAACTAGATCTGGTACCCTGGGTGTCAAATATATACACATTTGATAACTCCTTTTAAAAGTACTAGGAATAAAAATGCCAAATTTGAGTATGATATTACAAATAATTTTAAGTTTTTTTCTTGTATACAGTATTTTCTTTGCCAAGCATAGCAATGCAATCATTTCTTCAAATGTAACTTTTATATTAGTACAAAGAATTATAATTGTTTCAACATGTATACTCTCAATTAACTCCTTGTGATTTTTAAAAAATAAAATATCATTGCATACTGAAAACCCAGTATAATTAAGGCAATTATTGTGTCTTCTGTAAGTGATGAAAATTAACACCATGAGTTTTATACCTTGGAGCATAGTTTAAGTTAATGATAAAGAACATAGGGAAAAATTTTGGATAAAAACCAAACTATACTGCAAAAGAGGGGTGAAATTAGCATTGAATGGTCACTAACCATGTTAGGCAGGTTTTTCTCCCATGTACCATTGCACTCACTGACTTATCTTTAAAAGTCCATTAAATAGGTATGTATTATTGACATTTTACTGAAGTTAGAATGAAAGCTCACAGAATTTTACTTCAGCAACTCTTCAAGGATATTTAGGGGTAGAGCTGGGGGTCAGATCCTCATCATTTGATTTCAAATCCGTGCCCCCTCCATTGCATGTTTGTCTCCCAAAAGTGATCTGTATACACCATTGAACGAGTTGAGTACAAAAATTGTAGCTAATCCATGCAAACAAAATTCCCCCAGTTTTTAAATATCTTGTAATTCAACTAGTTTCCTTTTTTTGCACATTTTTCCATTGAATTTCATTTTAATAAGCATGTGCCACCTGAGCACATACTAAAACCTGCATCCTCAGTATGGGTCTCTTTGCTTTTAGGAGTGGTGAGAGAGGGCTCCGCTTGCTTTAATAATGGAAAAAGAGCTGACTGTGGGATTGGTTGGACAGGTTCTGTCTTTGTCACTAACTGGTTATTTCACAGTGGGGCAAGCCATTCACAGGGCTGAAATTCCTCTTTTCATTTGTATAATGAAGGAAAAGTGCTCAGTGATCTTGAATGTTTGTTCATTCCATCTCTTTGGATGTTTCATGATATTAGAAATCCACAGCACATCCCCTGAAGGTCCAGGAGTTCAAATATGGACCAATTTCCTAGAAAACTGATTCCCTATTTGGGATACTCCAGCCCCTTGAAATTTTCCAAGACTTTAAAAGTGACTACAGATTCAGGATTTTGGAATAGGCAACCCAAGAATCAATTTTTTAAGGTCCTATAAAAACTCAATCTGAATTATTTTCATTCTGAATTTAGGATATCCTGATTTTTCTTTTCCATATTTTTTTCACAGGATTATTTTACAAATGCAAATAGAGAGTTGAAAAAAGATGCTCAGCAGGATTACCATCTAGAATATGCCATGGAAAATAGTACACACACAGTAATTGAATTTACCAGAGAACTGCATACATGTGACATAAATGACAAAAGTATAACGGTAAGGAGTCAATGAGTGAGTAGATGCATGAATAAACTGTACATGTACAGTCATGAAATGCTTTGCAGAATAAAAAGAACAAATATTTAAACATAACCTTTGACAACAAACTTATATATTCCTTTGTAATGTTTTAGAATTCTTTTAGAAGCCATACAAAAAAATTTAGGATATAAAGTTCAATGAAGCCAATTTTTTTGTGAATCTAAATTTTTGAAGTTGTTTAAAGTGGGTATGATTTTATCCTTAGAGGCTTCTAGCTTCTCTCTGTAAAGTTTGAAAATAGACAAAAGGTTGGAAGAGAAATGTATTATACAAGAGAGAATGGTGATAGTGAATATTAGGGTATGATTCATCTGACTTGTAACTGGTTCATTTTGGTAAATTTCTAAAATCAAGATAAGTAGACTGATTAAAATTGCCTATTGATATATTATACAAGGTTTCTTATTGTCAGACTATATGCAAATATTAATACCTTCATGCATATGCAGATTAGATATTTAGAGGGTCTGTAATTCATGTGGTACTCTAGAAGTTTCCATGAATTTCTTGGATCAATTTCATTTTGTATAAGCCAATAAAACTATCTTTTTTTTATTTGGTAAAGCAAATTTTTAACAATGGGAATGTAGAAGTCTGAAGCAATTTTGATTAACATTCAGCATAAAGAGTAAAAGAGTAAAAGAAAACACATGCAAAGACATGGATCATGTTTTATGTAATATACAGTGCAATTATGCTTTAACTGGTCAGATAATTATGGTTCTTTGACTTATTAAGAAAGAATATAGCTCTCAAAATAAATAATTTTTCCTCTATTATTTTAAAATTCTTATTAATGAAGATCTGGCAAAGACACTTTTATCTGTGAGAGGACTGAATAATTTCTTTATACCCAACAAACTCTGCCCACTCTTTGGGCAATCTCTTTTGGTTCCTAAATGGAAACCAATTTCACCTGACAGTACTTTCCCTAGTTGGGATATCCCCATCCCTTGGGAATTCCCAGGATTCATAAAATGACCATAGATAGATTCTAGGATAATAAACAAACCCAGAATCAGAAATCCTGCTTGCACTTGCACTTTCTGTAATTCATACATGTGACTGAGCCTAGAGCCAGGGAAAAATCTATCATGAAAGTAAAAGTCCTGACCTGGAAAATAATTTTAATTTTAATTTTATTTATTGTTTTTCCTTAAAATGCTCATGGCATTTGGACAAATCTGAATTTTTCCAAATTCCTGCTGCTTAACAAGAAAATTTGGTTGGTAACTACTAGTTGCTAGTTTGGAGTTTTAACATGGATTAGATTTATTATTGCCATATGCATGAAAACATAGCTATAGTACTAAGTAAACTGCCCTTTGCTTGATTTGGAAGAAATCGTTGAGACAATTTGTGTTGAGAGAGATGATTTCTTCCAAACAGAAACTCATTTATTTAGATACTCAATGACTTAATCAAATTTACACAACTAGTGTTAGAGACCATATTGTGAACTCCAAATGTCATTACTCTCTTTTCTCTACTTCTGTATCCTGCTTTAAATAGAGTTCTTTAAACTCAGCTCAGTGGTAAGGGAAGTGTTCTCCTGAGACATAACCGTGCCCGTGTCTGATCACCAGGAGAGCACTGTGAGGGTGATCTGGGCTTACCACCATGAAGACATGGGCGGAACTGGTCCCAAGTACCATGCCTCCAATCGTGGCACCAAGAGTCTGCGGTTATTGAACCCGGAAAAAACTAGTGTATCATCTACACCCATACCATATTTTGACCTGGTCAATCAGGACGTAAGTTTTTTCAGGTTTTATGCTCATAAGGGTGGGTTTATTGAAAGTGTTTCAGGGTTTTTACTTATGTTGTCTTTAATAGCATATCAATAGAATGTGACTTTATATTCTCCTCCCCTTTTTATGAAGACAGGTTCCCATCCCAAACAAAGGTACAACATATTGGTGCCAAATGTTTAAGATTCCTGTGTTCCAGGAAAAGCATCATGTAATAAAGGTATGTGACTCACATACAGGCTAACTGTGCGAATGGAGAAAAAATTATTGTTCTTAAAATGAAAGCAAAAAAGAAATGATTTTCATTATGTAAAAGTTTTTTTAAAGAGGGAAGAACCAATTTAACTGATTGATACTCTGTTAAAAGTCACTGACTAATTTTGCATGTTAAAACTTTGGGGATGCATTTGAACACCTCTAGCTATTTATTAGGCAACAGTTCTACAGTTGGAATTACTGGAGTTGCAATTTAAAGTCATATATTTACATATTGAAAAATTTTATCTGGTAATATATTTACATATTGATACATTTTTTTCCCACCAATATTGTTTGGGAGTGTCAACTTCATTGTAAATACTGGATGTGGTCATAGAAATAATTGTCACAATATATTTTTGAAAACAGGAAAACAAGAAAATTAATACATTTCTATGGATTAAAAAATACAGAATTGAGTGCTAAATAAGTCCAGTTAGCCTATGGCATCTAATTCTCTCACCTTCCCCAAGATTGGTCTCTCAAAACTTTTGCATCATTCAAAAATTTGTTTTGAATGAACAAATACATTGAAACATGTGCAGGTCCTCCGCTCTGTGCGAGGAATTGTTTGGCAGTTCCTTAGAAGCTGGAGATATGATCCAGGGTTTCAAAGAACCTTCAGTGGAAGACGTGACCAAGACACAAGAAAGAATAAGATAGAATTAAACAGTACATACAAAATACTCAAAACATTCAGAAGACCAGACATTCCTGGCTTTTTATCAGCTGCAGATTCTGTAACAAAGCAGTGTAGATGGGACAAAGAAGCAGATTCTAGAATCTGGAATCTAGAGGGCAATGTGTGGGTTTGACTTGCATGTGGATTCTGTGTCCTCTTGGGTAAGTCACTCTGGGGTATTTCTGTGGACCCTGATTTCCTCATCTGTAAAAGGTCATGACATCTTCCCCAGCAGCCTCAAAGCATTTTGGCAGAGACGGAAGCACTGAGTACATTCCATAATTTGTTAATTGCTAATACATGTGTCTAGTGGCACAGATCTACCTTTTGTTTATAGAATAATTCATAACTTAGGCAAGAAGAGCAGGTTGAGGGAATATTTACTGAATTAGTAAGCAGTATTTGTGTAACATTTTTACAATCAGAAGACTTAACCAATAATGTGACTGCAGATGAGCCATTTACCTTGTGCAATGTTATTTTCTGTTTCTTGCACCAGAGAAAGGGATGCAAATTCTAGTCTTACATAACATATAGTCTAAGGCCTTCCCTTATATCAATGAAAACTCCTTCTCGGAAAAGAAAAGGTTATATTTACCTACACTGTGTGTCGTATATTATTGTGTATCATTTGCAATAAATTTAATTAGAACCTGGCTTAAGGGACAAATATAGAAGTATAGGTTCAGAAATGAAAGCAAATGTTTCACAAAATAGGTCCTTGATTCATACTTTTGGGCTCACATTGCTATCTTCACTGGGTATCAAGAGGGATCTCAGTGACTTGAAAGGCTTTCGAGCATTTTCTCCTGTGGTTGGAGATCTGTAAAATGAGAAAAGCTTTTACCCTGAGCAGTAGGTGATTTGAGGGAGTAGCTGTAGGTCTCCGAGAGGATACTTATGCAAACTTTTGTTATTCCAGAGGCAGAGAATTGGTGGCTAAAATTAAAATTCTGCTATTACTTAAGAATACCGCTTACAAAATAGAGTCTTGAATCTGTGCTAAACCCTGAAAGATTTTAAGGGTCATTAAGTGTTATGAGACATTTAACTCAAAAATGAATTCTAATAGGATAATACACACACACACACACACACACACACACACACACACACACACACACAAGGGTCATTAAGGGTCATTAAGTGTTACGAGACATTTAGCTCAAAAATGAATTCAGATAGGATAATACACACACACACACACACACACACACATCCCAAAACCCAAAACAGAGAAAGCTCTACTGGGAAAATAAATTCAAAACATGTTGCATAAATTTTGACACCATCTTTCAAAAACAGTTTTAATTCACAGCTTATGCCAATCGTACAATAAAATTTTAATGTTTCTAATTTCTAGATTTAATACAGCTACAACTTACCTGAAGAAATTACCTAATTTTCATTCTCCTTTCCTTAGGAGAGATGATTTCTAATAATTCAGGAAAAATATATGTTTTTCATAGATTCAAAAACTGTATTTTGAAAAGCTATCAGCCAAGTGCTTCCACTTACTGTTTATGTCCCACAAGTCACTGTATCACAAAGCCCCAGTTCTTCTCTGATGTAAACAAAAATTACTTTCTTAGAAAAAAGATCATTGCTTTTATATTTCATTATGTTGTGTGTTATTAGCAGTGAGTTTTAAGAATATGTTCATCACATTGTGTGTGAAATCACTTTTGTTGTCTGGACTCTATTTGAAGCAAAGAAAAAGTTTGTAATTTCAGCTTTATATGGCCCAATATACATTTCAGTAATATGGCCCAATATACATTTCATAATTGTCATAACTACAAAACTAAACAGATAAAATATATCAATGGTTTGGTCATTTTTATTTTATTTATTTTTTATTTATTTTTTTTACTTATTACTATATTTATTAAGAACGACTAAAATTAAAAATATTAATTACATTTTAACTTAAATTTGAATCATGCAATGATAAAATTTACTACTAAAGGGAACAAATAAAAAGATGAATAGTTACTAATTATAAACTAATAAAGATAAATAGTTTCATATGCAGGAAAGAAGGGATTATGGTGAAAATTTTTAATGGTTCCAATTCACTTGAAATTCTAATTTATCAATTTGTATTTTGTGTAAAATTATTTAAAATTATGACTGTAAAATGTTTGTATTGTTAGATGACAGCCCATCATTTCAAGACATATGGAGATTGTAAGCAAGAAAATTCTTGGTAATTTATATTAAAACCAAACTTCTTATATGGGATCATCTCTGTGTTTTCCTTTTGAGACTCACTCTCTAGCCCGTCTCTCCATATTTGAACATGACTCTATTTAAGCTTTACCAAATGTATAACTTTACCCCACATTACAAGTTTTTTGGAGAAAGTGATTCTTCCCGCTTTCTTCAGGCAGTAGTAGTGTCATCATCACCAAACAGTAATGGCTGGATAGACTCTACTAGAAGCTGGGGATATCAGTGGGCTTAACCCACTGCTTTTTTTGAGAAGCTTTTGTTGCCAGGGAATTCTCCTGATACAGAAACTCAACTCCTAACTCATTTGTTTAAACATGATTATGTCTCATTCAATTTTTTTTTATGGCAACTTTTAAAAAATTTTTTATTAAGGCATCATTGATATACAATCTTACGAAGGTTTCACATGAGCAACCTTGTGGTTACTACATTCACCCATATTATCAAGTCCCCACCCCACACCCCATTGCAGTCACTGTCCATTCAGTGTAGTAAGATGCTATAGAGTCACTACTTGTCTTCTCTGTGCTATACTGCCTTTTCTGTGACCCCCGTACATTACGTGTGCTAATCATAATGCCCTTTAATCCCCTTCTCCCTTCCTGCCTCCCCACCCCCTTCCCTTTGGTAACTGCTAGTCCCTTCTAGGAGTCTGTGAGTGCTGCTGTTTTGTTCCTTTAGTTTTACTTTGTTGTTATACTCCACAATGAGTGAAATCATTTGGTACTTGTCTTTCTCCACCTGACTTATTTCACTGAGCAAAATACCCTCTAGCTCCACCGGTGTTGTTGAAATGGTAGGATTTGTTTTCTTATTATGGCTGAATAATATTCCATGGTGTTTATGTACCACATCTTTATCTGTTCATCTACTGATGGACACTTAGGTTGCTTCTATTTCTTGGCTATTGTAAATAGTGCTGCAATAAACATAGGAGTGCATATGTCTTTTTAAAATTGGGCTCCTGCATTCTTTTTTTGTTTTTTTTTTATGGATTTCAATTCTTTTTTTTTTAATTTTTTTATTTTGGTATCATTGATGTACAATTACATGAGCAACATTATGGTTACTAGACTCCCTCCCTCCGCATACCCCATTACAGTCACTGTCCATCAGCATAGTAATATGCTATAGAATCATTACTTGTCTTCTGTGTGCTATACTGCCTTCCTTGTGCCTGCACCCCCCTACATTATGTGTGCTAATCGTAATGCCCCTTAATCGCCTTATCTCTCCCTTCGCACCCACCCTCCCCATTCCCTTTCCCTTTGGTAACTGTTAGTCCATTCTTGGGTTCTGTGAGTCTGTTGCTGTTTTGTTCCTTCAGTTTTTTTCTTTGTTCTTATATTCCACAGATGAGTGAAATCATTTGATACTTGTCTTTCTCTGCCTGACTTATTTCACAGAGCATTATACCCTCTAGCTCCATCCATGTTGTTGCAAATGGTAGTATTTGTTTTCTTCTTATGGCTGAATAATATTCCATTGTGTATATGTACCACATCTTCTTTATCCATTCATCTACTGATGGACACTTAGGTTGCTCCACTTTCTGGCTATTGTAAATAGTGCTGTGATAAACATAGGGGTGCATATGTCTTTTTGAAACTGGGAAACTGCATTGTTATGGTAAATTCCTAGGAGTGGAATTCCTGGGTCAAATAGTATTTCTATTTTGAGTTTTTTGAGGAACCTCCATACTGCTTTCCACAATGGTTGAACTAATTTACATTCCCACCAGCAGCGTAGGAGAGTTCCCATTTCTCCACATCCTCGCTAACATTTGTTGTTGTTTGTCTTTTGAATGTTGGCCATCCTAACTGGTGTGAGGTGATATCTCATTGTGGTTTTAATTTGCATTTGTTTGATGATTAGTGACATGGAGCATCTTTTCATGTGTCTGTTGGCCATCTGAAATTCTTCTTTGGAAATTAGTTTGCTGAGGTGTGTGAGCTCTTTATATATTTTGGATGTCAACCCCTTATCAAATATGTCATTTATGAATATATTCTCCCATACTGCAGGATGTCTTTTTGTTCTACTGA